CTCCCTCACTTCTACTTTCCCTTCTACCCTCCCTCATCCCTTCTTCCTTTCCTCCCTTCCTTGTTTTCCTTCTCTCTTTCTTGTTTTTTCTTTCGGTCTTCCTCTTTCTTTTTTTCCTTCCTTCTTTCTTAAGTTTTAATTTTTTTCTTAATTATTTAATATTTAAAGATTTAGAATATATAAAATTCAAAAGGAAATATTAACAAAATTTCCTATCACACTGCCAAATGACTAGTAATAAAAGTATTTGTGGTTTATTGTTAAAACTTCAGAATATTTTTTTCTTTCTAAGCATATTTTTATTATAAAATTAAAAGAATGTTATATAATTTTATACCTCACTCTTTTTACTTAGCTGCCATATGACATAGCATATTCATGTCATTAAATTCTCTTCATATACATAATTTTAATTGCTGTGTATTACATGATCTAAATATGCTTTCACCCCAATCAGTTTCCACTTTGTAGGCATTTAAGTTATTTCTAATGGTATTTTTTTTTATATATATTTTATTGATATTTTACAGAGAGGAATGGAGAGAGTTAGAGAGTTAGAAACATCGATGATGAGAGAAACCCCGATCAGCTGCCTCCTGCACATCTCCTACTGGGGATGTGCCCGCAACCCAGGTACATGCCCTTGGCCGGAATCAAACCTGGGACCTTTTAGTCCGCAGGCCGACGCTCTATCCACTGAGCCAAACCGGCTTCGGCTCTAATGGTATTTTAATTGTAAGTGATGTTGCAGTGAACATTTATGATCATAAGTCTTTATGCACATTTCTGATTATTTCCTTTCAATAGATTCTTAGAATGGGAGTTAACAGTTTAAGTATTTAACAGTTTTTAACATCTTAATATGTCTGGTCAAATTTCTTTCCAGAAAGGATACACCAATTTCACCTCTTGCCAGCAATGTATGAGTTATACATTGCTATAGTACCCTGAATATTAACATTCTGTATCTCCATCACTAAATTTCTAGCTAATGTAATAGTGTAAAATGTTTTCTTTATTTCTATCTCTTGATTGCTGATAAAGCAGTACTTCTTCACTTATTAATTAGCCATTTGCATTTTTCACTTAATGACCTTTACTTGGCTCTTGTTTATTGGGCACCATGGTATTTTTGTTGAATAGTTTAAAGACATAGTTTAAAGAACATTGATCTACTAGAAAAAATTATTCTCACATGTGTTATCAACTTTATGAGAATTTTTAAAATAGTCAAGTCTTGAAATTTGCTTAATCAAATTATTTATCTCTTGCATTGTCACATCTTTAATTCCATTATATTTTAGAAAACCCTTCCCTATCCAGAGAGCGATAAGTATTTTCTCCCCCTTTTTAGTTTTATAAATGGTTTGAATTTGTAATAATTAAATTCTAAGCTATGTGTTTGATTTCTCTCTGTTTTGTATGGTAAGGTTCTCTATTGATTAGGTTATATATTTTTCCCAAATAATTGACCAATTGGCCTAGTACCAGGCATCCATCAAGTCCCTTTGGCTTTGTCTCTCTTAGATCCAATCCCAGGGATTCTCTCCTAGAACATTCTCAGTCTTGTTGTGATGGTTTCCTAGGAGGCATTTCTTATCTCCTGGCCACTTGGCTGTCATGCTTTGGCTTGCATGTGACTCAATGATATCATCTCATCGCATCCCAGTAATTAGTATTTCTTTTGGCAGAATATTCCATTTAGGTTGCGTTACTCAGCAAGATTGGGAAAGATGATTGAGGTTTTAACTCCCAAGGAACTTAATTTCTTTTTCACATCACAATAGCCATGGCAAGAAGGGCTAGGAAGGAACTTCCTGCATCTATGACACAGAGCCAGATATCTTATCACTTCAAGCTGTGAGGTGGAGTTACCCCCAGGCAGCTTAATGAGATGGGGTTTGAAATTCTTGGTTATTTCCACATGAAAACCTAAATTAATTGAAAAGATATTTTAAGGCTTCTCTGTGATGTGTTCTTCTTTGTTATGTTCTGGAGAGCAGAAAAAAATGTTTCGCAAGTTGCCATCTGTGCTCTTGGGTAGCTCAGGAACACAGGAAAGTTGGAGAGAAAGCACTTGGGAGAGCCATAATCATCTTTTATGGCCACTTAGAATTGATTCTAAAAATTGATTTGATACTTTAGAGGAATATTTTAATCCAAATGAAGTCCATGTCATTCCAAATACTAACCCATCTCTTCCCTGAGACTGATCTTAGAAGGCAATATTTCAAGAGATACTGAATTGATTCCAGATGTTTTACTTTTAGAGTTTTAAGCAAAAGATACACTAAAAATTGTTTTTATTCATATGTGCATGCTTGCACCTAAAACTTATATCCAGCAAAAACTTCTTAACACTTTCTAAAAAGAGGTATTTGAAATGGGAAAAATAATAAAATAAAATAAAACTATCCAGTTTTAAAAGATAAATACTATTTTGGTTAAAAAAATTGACTGTTGATAGATATTTTCAGCTCCAATGCATACATATTACAGTGTTCTATTGCTTCTCCAAAGTAGTGAATGATCCTGGTATTAATGTGTGTGGCATGGGGAAATGATTTAATACAGTTTTAATCACTTACAATAAAAGAGTTAAGTACAAAATATTTTTTTAAATATATTTTATTGATTTTTTTATGGAGAGGAAGGGAGAGGGATAGTTAGAAACATCAATGAAAGAGAAACATTGATCAGCTGCCTCCTGCACACCCCTCACTGGGGACATGCCTGCAACCAAGGTACATGCCCTTGACCAGAATCGAACCTGGGACCCTACAGTCCGCAGGCCGATGCTCTATCCACTGAGCCAAACCGGTTAGGGCAAGTACAAAATATTTTAATGTTGAACTCAGACCCCATCTTAAGCATATGGTTATTATATACTAGGGGCCCCGTGCATGATATTTGTGCATGGGGGCTGAGCCTGCACCCTCTCCAATCCAGGACCCCTCGGGGGATAACCAACAGTCGGACATTCCTCTCACAATCCAGGACCACTGGCTCCTTAACTGCTCACCTGCCTGCCTGCCTGATTGCCCCAAACTGCCCCCACTGCTGACCTGGTCACCTCCAACTGCCCCCTTCACAGTCCTCCCTCGCTAACCCCCGTGCCGGCCTGGTCGGAGGCAGCCATCTTGTGAGGGTGTGAGGGTTAATTTGCATATTACTTCTTTATTATATAGGATTGTAATCCATGTCTGTAAGCATGTGTTCTGCTGGCATGCTCAGTACACTTGTGCCAGGGACATTGAGCAGAACTCTCTCCTGTTTGGTCAGTGACTTTGTTCTACCAGTTGTAAAATACTTTCAATGTTACCCCTGCTTATACCTCTAGAAAAATCAGAGAAAAGGTATATGCATAAACAAAAGTATTATTCTTTCAAATTGTATTACTTGAGATTCATGTAGTTAAACAAAAAAACATGTTTTTATGATAATCATGCTGTTTTGTCCATGTTGAGAATCTAGAACACTGTTTTTATGAAGGTTAAATGTTTACTATTAAATGTTTACAGTTAGGTTTTTTTAAAATATATATTTTTTATTGATTAAGATATTACATATGTGTCCTTATCCCCACGTTACCCTCTACCCCCCCCACCCCCGCCCACACAC